AAATACAAAAATGTGCAGGGTGTAGTGGCAGGCGCCTGTAATACCAGCTACTCGGGAGGGTAAGGCAGGAGAATCGCTTGAACTCAGGAGGCAGAGGTTGTAGTGAGCCAAGATCACACCATTGCACTCCAGCCTGGGTGACAAAAGCAAAACTCCATCTCAAAAATAAAATATCAAATAAAATAATGGATATATTCAAGCCTCATGGTAACCTCAAATAAAAAAACATACACGAGATACACAAAAAATAAAGAGCAAAAAAATCAATTATGCCACCAGAGAAAATTACCTTCACTAAAAGCAAGGAGGAGGGAGGGTGGGAGGAAAGAAGGAAAAGACCAGAAAACAAATAGCACAAGGGCAGGATTAAGTACTTACTTATCAATAAAAACACTGAATATAAACAAACTAAACTCTTCAATAGAGAGTTAAAAAGACCTTGAGCAGTTGAATGGATTAAAAAAACAAGCCCTACCTATTTGATGCCTATAAGAAACACACTTCATCTATAGAGAAACACACAGACTGATAATAAAGTGATTTTAAGATATTCCATGCAATGGAAACTAAAAAAGAGCAGGAATAGCTATGCTTACATCAGATAAAATAGATTTCAAGACAAAAATCATAAAAAGAGACAGAAGTCATTATATAATGATAAAGGGGTCAATTCAGCAGGAGGATATGATGACTATAGATATATATGTACCCAACACTGGAGCACACAGATATAAAAAGCAAATATTATTAGAGCTAAAGACAGAGATACACCCAAATGCAATAACAGCAGGAAACTTCAATGACTCACTTTTACCCTTGGACAGATCATCCAGACAGAAAATCAACAAAGAAACATCAGGCTTAATCTGCACTATAAAACCTAATTTATATTTAGAGAAAATTTCACCCAGTGGCTGCAGAATATACATTCTTCTCAGCATATAGATCATTCTCAAGGATAGACCATATTTTAGGTCACAAAAAAGTCATAAACCATCAAAAACAACAACAATGGCTGGGTATAGTGGCTCATGCCTGTAGTCGTAGCACTTTGGGAGGCCGAGGCAGGCAGATCACTTGAGGCCAGGAGTTCAATACCAGCCTGGCCAACATGGCAAAACCCTGTCTCTACTAAAATTACAAAAATTAGGTGGGTGCAGTGGCTCACGCCTGTAATCCCAGCACTTTGGGAGTCCGAGGCGGGCGAATCACATGAGGTCAGGAGTTCCAGACCAGCCTGGTCAACATGGTGAAACCCCATCTCTACTAAAAATACAAAAACTAGCCAGGTGTGGTGACGCATGCCTGTGGTCCTAGCTACTTGAGAGGCTGAGGAAGGATCACTTGAACCCAAGAGGAGGAGGTTGCAGTGAGCCAAAGATTGCACAACTGTACTCCAGCCTAGGCAACAGAGATAAACTCCATCTAAAAAGAAAAAAAAAATACAAAAATTAGCCAAGCCTGGTGGTACAGACCTGTAATCCCAGCTACAAGGGAGGCTGAGGCACAAGAATCACTTGAACCTGAGAGGTGGAGATTGCAGTGCACTATGATCATGCCACTGCACTCCAGCAATGCCTGTTTCAAAAAAATAGAAATCAACACACTGTTTCCAAAAAAAAAAAGAAATAAAAAAATTGAAATAATATCAAGGCTTCTCTGACCACCATGAAATAAAACTAGAAATTAATAACGAGGCATTTTGGAAACTATACAAATATATGAAAATTAAACAATATGCTCCTGAATGACCAGTGAGTCAATGAAGAAATTAAGAAGGAAATAGAAAAATTTCTTGAGGCAAATGATAATGGAAACACAACATACCAAAACCTGTGGGATTACAATGAAAGCAGCACTAAGAGGGAAATTTATAGCTGTAAGTGCCTATACATCAAAAAAGAAGAAATCTTTAAGTAACCTAACAATGAATCTTAACGAACTAGAAAAGCAAGAGCAAACCAGGCATAAAATTACTGGAAAAAAAGAAATAATAAAGATCAGAGAACAAATAAACAAAACTGAAACCAAAAATATAAAAGATCAAGGAAATGAAAGCTTGGTTTATTGAAAAGATAAATAAAATTGACAAACCTTTGCCAGACAAACTAAGAAAGGAGGAAACAAGACCCAAAAGCCCTCATGAATGGATTAATGCCGTTATGAAAGGGCTTGAGGTTAAAGGGCAAGCCCTCTCCTGCCCTTCTGCCTTCCACTATGTGATAATGCAGCAAGAAGACCCTCACCAGATCAAGGGCCTTGATCTTGGACTTGCAGCCTCCAGAATGGTAAAAAGTAAATTTCTGTTCATTATAAATTACATAGTCTCAGATGTTCTGTTATAGCAGCACAAAATGGGCTAAGACAGATTTCAGTACTCACTAAATTCATCTACAGATTTAATGCAATCTCAAAAAAAACCCCAGCCAGTCTCTCTACAGAAACTGATAAGATAATGCTAAAATTCATATGGAAATTCAAGGCACCCATAATAACCAAAACAATCTTGAAAAGGAACAGAAAAGAAAAACTCATATTTCCTGATTTCAAAACTTAAGGCAAAGCTATAATAATCAAGGCATACCAGCATAAACTGATGTATAGATCAATGAAATAGTTAAGAGTCCAGAAATAAACATATTTATGGTTGTATTAGTCCGTTTTCATATTGCTACAAATAACTGCTCAAGACTGGGAAATTTATAAAGGAAAGAAGTTTGACTCACAGTTAAGCATGGCTGGGGAGGCCTCAGGAAACTTACAATTATGGCAGAAGGCAAAGCAGAAGCAAAGCACTTTCTTGTCAAGGAAGCAGGAAGGAGAAGTGCTAAGCAAAGTGGGGAAGCGCCCCTTTTAAAACCATCATCTCTCGTGAGAACTCACTATCACGAGAACACCACAGGGGAAACTGCACCCATGATTCAATTCCCTCCACCTGGTCTCTCCCTTGACACATGGAAATTATGGAAATTACAATTCAAGATGAGATTTGGGTGGAGACACAAAACCTAACCATATCGATGGTCAACCAATATTTGACAAGGCTAGCAAAACAACGCAACAGGTAAAGTATAGTCTTTAATGGTGCTGGGACCACTGAATAGCCCATCCAAAAGAATAAAGCTGGATCCCTTCACCACATCATCCACATGAATTAAATCAAACTGTACCACAGACGTAAGAGTAAGAGCCACGTCTTACACTTATAAAATTAGAATTATGAAACTATTGGAAGAAAATACAGTTAGGCAAGATCCAAATGCAATTTAAGGAGTGCACAGGGAAACACAAAAACAACAGGAGAAACCAAAACAAGGATACCAGAGAAAATTTTAGCCTCTGATACCTACAGCTACAGCAAACACTAAATAAAGCTTAACTCACGGCCAGATTAAAACAACAACAACAACAAAAAAAAAAAAAACCTTCATAATAAAGGCCTATTTAACTCAGTTCTTAAACAAAATACATTATATTCAGCCTGAATTAAAAGGCATGCTAAAAGACAAAAATACAGTTTGAAAAGAGAGAGCAAGTCAAACATCAGAACCAGACCTACATATGGCAGAGATACTGGAATTATTTAATATGACACTGGAAATGTAAAATAATGATGATTAATATACTAAGGGCTCAAATGGAAAAAGTGGACAACGTGCAAGAACAGATAGGTAATACAGACAGAAACATGAAAACTCAGAAAGAGCCAAAAACAAATGCTAAAACTCAAAATCACAGTAACAGAAATGAAGAATGCCTTTGATGGGCTCATCAGTAGACTGGACTTTGCCAAGAAAGAATCAGTGAGACTGAAGATACATCAACATCTTCCTGAAACTTCCTGAACTAAAAAGCAAACACAAAGAAGAATGAAAAGAAGAAAAAAAAAAGAACAGACTATCTAAGAACAATGGAGCCGGTGCCTGGCTAGCTCAGTTGGTAGAATAGGAGACTCTTAAGAACAATGGGCCAACTGTAAGAGTGGAACATATACTTAATGGGCATACCAGGAGAATGAGAGAAAGAAACAGAAGAAATATTCGAAGTAATAATGACTGAAAAACTTCCAAAATTAATGACAGAACCAAACCATGGACCTAGGAAACAGAAAATACGCAGAATGAATATGAAAAAAATCTACACCTAAGCATATCATATTCAAACTTCAGAGAATTAAAGAAAAAGAGAAAATCTTGAAAGAAGCCAAATAAAAAAAAACATACCTCGGCTATAGAGAGCAAAGGTAAGAATTACATCAGACTTATCTTTAGAAACTATGCAGGGAAGAAGAGAGTACAGTGAAATATTAAATCCTATAGTATTCTCTTTGGATTAGAAACCATGACGCTGGCTCAGATATTTCATCCTTTGGATGCTCATGGGGAGAATTAAAAAATCACAGAAAAAAAAACAACGAAGATTACAACAGTGATTCTCAAATTTGAGTGTCCACAGTAATCATCTGGGAGCATATTACACATAGTGATTCCTAAAAACAACCCCCAGAAAATTTAAGCAAGCAAGTCTAGAATATGGAATTAGAGTCCAGAATCTGCATTTTGTTTTTTGACACACAGTTCAAGAAATCTAGCATGGGTGGTTATGAACATATAGTCTCTGAAACAACTGTGAAAGGTTCAGGGGTCTCAGTGACTTATGGGTCTTTATAAAATCCAGTTACTATAAAGTAAATGCACAGGAGTACATGTAGGTTTCGGCTAATTTTTCCCAGTATTATCCTACTGATAAAAAAAATCTTGGTCAGAAGTCCTTCTATTAACAACTCATAGGCTGCTGCTCATCCAGACACTGAATAAGCCCCTGCTTTGAATGGGCTACTGAGAAGGAAGTTGATAGGATAGAGATGACATCCAGAACTGTAAAATAATACATTTGTGTTGTTTTATGCTACCAAGCATGTGGTGATTTGTTACAACAGCAGTAAGAAACTAATGCATATGCTAGCAAATTACCTGCCTAAAAAGAAACATTTTTCTTACCTATATCCATTGGTCGTTCTGTATTTAAACTGTCCGTGCTGCCCTGGTGTCCACCTCCAGGAGTCTTTCCTTGTTGATCTGATAACTTTCCAGTACTGACAGATCTAAAAAGAATGGTTATGTTTTTAATAAAGGAAAAGTACACTTTTTTTTTTGTTCCTCAGCTGGAATACTTTTTAAAACTAGAAGGGTTACTAGGAAGTCAGAGAATGAGGAAACAATAAATAGATAGCAAACAATTCAGAATAGAGATTAAACTTCAATAATAAAAATAAAGGACAGAAATAGAATCTTCAAGAAGTTCAGGAAGAACTAAGTATTACACAATTACAGGGAGCATCTGTGGTTTTCCGAGATTCTAAATGTATACAATATATATTAATAACGATATGGCACGACTCAGCCATTACTCTAATGCAGTCTTACATATTTGTTTTACTATTACACTTTTCATGTTTAAGGCTAGAATGGAAACAGTATTTTACCTGCCAAACACTGCCTTGCTCTGCTGCTCGGCCCGCTGCCTCTCACTTCCTTGCACTAAAAGGCAATGGGCACATTCCCGTGGTTCATTCCCATCTTTGGATTGTTCTTCTGCAGGCCCATGATGAGTAACCAGGGCTAACAGGTTGGAAGATGCTTGTGTTTTAGGGATTTTGAAAGGAGCTGTGGTCTAAAGAGACATATATACGTAAGCTAGTTAATACGATGCATGAGCTATTCCGTACTGGCAGGCTTGTGTGACCCGGTAGTCAGGAGCATAGACTCTGGAGTCAGTCAAACCTGGATTCAAACACTGGCAGCTCTACTTACAGCTTGTATGACCTTATACAGTTCATTTAAACTCTCTAAGCCTCAATTTCCTTTTTTCAGGATCAAATGGGATCATACACAAAAAGCATTCTGCAAGTATGCTTTGGCACACATAAGTATGCCAGGGAAGTGCTCATTAAATTACAGCTATTCCTGGGCGGGCGTGATGGCTCATGCCTATAATCCCAGCATTTTGGAAGGCTGAGGCAGGTGGATCACTCAAGGCCAGGAGTTCAAGATCAGCCTGGCCAACATGGTGAAATTCTGTCTCTACTAAAAATACAAAAAAAATTAGCAGGGCATGGTGGCACATACCTGTAATCTCAGCTATTAAGGAGGCTGAGGTACCAGAATCATTTGAACCTGAGAGATGGAAGTTTATAGTGAGCTGAGATTGTGCCACTGCTCTCCAGCCTGGAGGACAGAACAAGACTCTGTCTCAAAAATTAAGATAAAATAAAATAAATTATAGCTATTCTTATCATGAATCCTTACCATAAACACTATACCAATTCCTGACCTACAAAAGGGTTTAATAAACACACCTTAGTAGGAGAACCAATGATTGTTGGCAAAGGAGTTTTAAAGAACCAGTCAGAATTCCGTGGAGAGGACCCCATGTGCTTGGTGGGAGAAGTTCCAAGGCTGCCAGGCCGACTGGGCTGAGGTGAGTAGCTGTATCCAGCCCCAGCATGGGAAGGGCACACGGGGTCAGAGTGCTGTTTTCTGAGCTTCTGCTTGTTCTGATAGATGTCAGTGAGGGTGGGGGCACTCTGCAGTCTAGCACCCAATAAGAGGGAGTGTGGTGACTGAGCTTGTGGCACTGGAGAACCTAACAAGAAAACAAATGTAACATTAACCCAAAGTGAAGAAGTGCAGTACAAAAACTTAAAAATTAAGAAGACAATTTTTAAAATGAGAATTCTGATAAATATCTTATTTTTCATAAGATATTCTAGAAGTTATTTACTTGGCAAGAGACTATTTTTCTGTCATCCTTTGCAAAACAAGTCCATCATTCATATTCTCAGGAGACAGAATTTAATGATTATCGGGTTATTATCTGTTTTTAATCAGTAGCTATCAAATAACTCAGATTAATACAAGGTCTGGTTAGCACCAAAGAAAACGATATCATTAATGAAATTAATGAATACAACAAAAACCTCCATTGAACAGAATGATTTTTACTCTATATGAATAATACATACTTCGGTAAATCAATGTAATTATTCTCTTTTCTCACATAGCAACTAAAAGAAACTTCAAACTAATCTAAAATAACTTCTTATACAAAAAAATATAAACAAATGTATATAATGTATAGGAAAGAAGATCATAAGATAATAGACCTTTCCTAGATTTTACTTTGTGTAAAAATAACAAGCATGTGGATTCTCTGTACTTTGTCTGCTAAATTACACACTCAAAACCTAAAGCATCCATATTCTCACAAAGACAACACTTGCTCACAGATATCCTTGAATTACAGTTATTAGATTAATATTAAAGACATGTAAATATTCTTAGTGACCTAACCATCATTCTTCTAAAAACAGAAACCAATAGAAGCTTTGCTATTGACCACTACTGGCTTCATCTCATTCCAAACCTGATATTTAATTTTTCTGCCCTTTGTTTTTTTTTTGAGACGGAGTTTCGCTCTTGTTACCCAGGCTGGAGTGCAATGGCGCTATCTCGGCTCACCGCAACCTCCGCCTCCTGGGTTCAGGCAATTCTCCTGCCTCAGCCTCCCGAGCAGCTGGGATTACAGGCGTGCGCCACCATGCCCAGCTAATTTTTGTATTTTTAGTAGAGACGGGGTTTCATCATGTTGACCAGGATGGTCTCGATCTCTTGACCTCGTGATCCACCCGCCTCAGCCTCCCAAAGTGCTGGGATTATAGGCGTGAGCCACCACGCCTGGCCTGCCCTTTGTAAAAATAAATTTGTGTTAAAATCTTATGGTCTGAAGAAAATTATTTAAGCTTCATTAAAGAGTGCTCTTCTAAGTAACACAGGAGTCCTTTAACTCACCAACTCCTCAAATATCCATACAATAGAATTTGACTTATAAAATCGTGACTTACACATATCTTTTCAGGCATATATATATTGTATAGTTTTTTAAAATTTATATTATTTTATCCGATGCTGACTCATGGCTCTTACCAAAATGATATTAATAAACAGTATGAAAGTAATGAAATTTCATTTCATAGATAAATAATTTTCACTATCTATGTGAAAACTTAGCTAAGTTATTTAATTCCTAAGACTTACTTTCATTAAGGAATCTCATATCCAAAAGGAAGTATTAGATGAGCTATATCACATGTTAAACCACATTAGACCAAGATTCTAAAAATCAGGATAGCAGAAGAGATATTTCATATCAATTCTGTTCTTTGAAAAGGCTAGAAAAATACAACTCAAATCCATTTTATAATACAGTTCGAATTATTAATATACCAAATACATTCTCCTACCTGAGGAGTTTCTACTCCTGGAGTCATGGCCCTGAGGATGCCCACAGCAGCACTGACTGAATTGCTCAGGAATGGTACCAACTGAAAAGAAAAAGAAAGAGAGAGAAAGGAAGAAAAAATGATTCAAAACCAATAAAAGATAACAACAGGTAACACATGCACAAATTGCACAAATTACTGGTTAGAAAATTTTAAGTAGCAAAGGTTTTAGTTCAACTAAGATTTACTGGATGACCAATCTGCTGGGTGCCGCACACTAATATAAAAAGTATCATATAATCTGCCTTGAAACAAGAACAATGCGGGGGCGGGGGAAGCCACATAAACAAATAAATGCTCCTAAGAGGTATGGCCACAAGACAGACAAATACAGAGTTTGCACAAAGTGTCCAGGCTTGTGGAGCTGCAGGGCACAGCTAACTGACAACCCCAGCTGTAGTCCCTCTGGATCTACCACACTGGTGCCAAGACTAGGCTTCCATCAGGGCTGCATATGGTGGGGCACTCATTCAGGCTTGTTGACGCAGGTCAGGGAATTCTTCTAAGACAACCCAGTGCTTGGCACTACTCCTTCAGTCTGGCTGAAACCTTCTTAAAACGACACCACAGTCTGAGACTCTTCCTGGCCAGTTCTTCCTCTTTCCTGCCCTCCTTTTCCAGGTGTTGGACCTATGTCTTTGTCTGAGGCCCCTCCCCACTTCCTCCTGCTCCTCCCCTTCATCCTTCACAGGAGTTTCCCCAAGTTACTCTCTTGCATATCTAATATGTTCTATGGATCCATTTCTCTTGAGAACCAAAACTAACAGAGAGAGAGAGTTGAGGAAGGCTTCAGGGAGTTTAATTTTTTAATTTTTAATTTTTATTTTTAAAAAGAGACGGGGTTTCACCATCTTGGCCAGGCTGGTCTCAAACTCCTGACCTCATGGATCCACCCGCCTTGGCCTCCCAAAGTGCTGGGATTACAGGCATGAGCCACCATGCCCAGCCTTCAAGGAGTTTAAGCAGATGTCTGTATCAAGAGGACTCATTCCAAGGGATCAGGCAGTGGCAGAGATCAGATTCTTAAGAAGGGCTTTATCCTTGTGTGCAAGGATGAGATTTGGACTTTGTCTTCAGAGACCTTGAAGTACCTCACCGCTGCAGCGGTGAGAAAGGGCCAAAATTTTATTCAAAGATTTTTCATCTAAAAAAAGCTCTGAAATTGTAACAACAAGTAATGTGGCAATTTAAACTTTTTTCTTTTTTTAACACTATCATTGTGTGTTTTGTATTGTTTTAAATAGGGGTCCTGAGGAAAGCCCTTCTCTTTCTGTCTCTGGAGATTACTTCCTATTCCATCTTAGTCTTACTTCAGCAGCGCTGACTGAAGGTGGGGCCCTCTCTTGTAAGTTATTTTTTTGCAGTTTTGAGATCTGCCACCCCCAGGCCCTGTCTACACCACCTGTTCTTTCCTACCACCTCAATGCTACCTCTCACACAGTTGCTGCAGTCTCAGTGGCTTTGGCTCTCTTACATGTATTTCTGGAGTTTGAGCTTTTATTTTTGTCTCTTGGTTTCACTGAAGATATGGTACGTGGTTTGTTTTTCCTTCAGGTAGCGTTTTTGTTGTTGCTGGTGTTTTGTTTGTATCGGCATTCTCCTTATTAGAGTACCGGGGAAGTGAGAAGATCTGTAATGAAGCTGCCACCACATGCCTCCCAGGACTACAAGGTTTCTGGTAATTGTGACCCAGAGCTGCTGTACAGTAATCCTTACAAGTATGAGTGTTAAGTAGAAAAGGCATGTTACACTTTAGCCAAGGATTTCTGACTTTGCGTTTACAGCCCAATTTCAAAGGAGATGTTTTTTATACATAAGGTACATCTATATTACTGTATTTCCAGTAAAGATCCTAACAGATTTATACAGACTCTCAAAAAGAAATTGGGGCTGGGCACAGTGGCTCATACCTATAATCCCAGCACTTTGGAAGGCCAAGGCAAGTGGATTGCTTGAGCCCAGGAGCTCAAGCCCAGCCTAAGCAATAGTGAAACTTTGTCTCCATAAAAATTTAAAAAATTAGCTGGGTGTGGTGGCATGCACCTATAGTTCCAGCTACTTGGGAGGCTGAGATGGAAAGATCCTTTGAACCTGGGAGGCAGAGGCTGCAGCAAGCCGAGATCATGCCCCTGCACTCCAGTCTAAGCGACAAAAATGAGACTTTGTCTCAAATAAAGAAAGAAAAAGACTAAAATAAAAGAGGGAGCTGAGATTGGGGTAAAAATGGAGGGACAGGGTAGTCTTTAACCAGCTCAGAATCACTGCCATCATGAATCAAAGTTCCTAAAGAGAATGTCTCATGTCAGATTTATTACAGTGAAAAAAAGGCTGAAAACTGTTTCTAAACTCTCCTGACCCAAAGGGGAAGGTGAGTAAGGCCTAGAAGATCCAGTGGAGAGTCTTCGTCCAACTGTCTGTGCTGCGTCTGCTGGCACCGGGGAGCATGATCCCAGCCTGAGGAAGCCCATGGGGCTGGTGTTGGACCTTCGTACCACTGCAGATCTGAAAAGTAAATTGTTTCTTTTATGAAAGGTTCTAGAACTCTCTCTTTAGTCATGCATTTTCTGAAACTTCCTAATAATATACCATGGAGTAGTTTTCAAAAAATATGTAATACAGTCACATGGAACAATTATAAGATGCATAAAATTAGACAGAGTAAGGTATCCCTCCCATTTTTCTATTCTATCTGCCTATTTCCCAACACTTCCCCAATTCTATTCAAAATGTTACCATGATTCTTAGTTTCTAGTGTATCCTCCCAGAGTTCCTTAATGCATAAACAAAACAAACTAAATATATACTCTTATTCTCACCAGGTTTTAACACCAAAGGTGATATATTACATACCACTCATTTTGGATCTTTTTGGTCTTAGGTCCCCTTTATACACTTAAAAATTACTGAAAATCCCAGAGAGCTTGGTTTATGTAACTTATATCTATTGATATTTACTGTATTCAAAATTAAGCTGAGAAATTTTAAGAATTATTAACTCATTAATAAGCTTATTCCACATAATATAAGATTATGAAAAATAAGCATATTTTCCAAAACAAAATAAATTAGTGAGAAGTAAGGCATTATTTTACATATTTATAAATATCTAATGGCTCGCAGAAAACATTTGGGTTCTCATAATTGCTTCTGCATTCAATTTGTTGTAAGATATGTTATTTTGAGTGAAGTATATGAAGAGGATCCAGCCTTCCACAGATGTGTAACTGTGAAAGGAAGGAATATTTTGGTAGCCTTTTCAGGTTAACTGTGACACACTTCTTTGATACTACACCAAAACGCAGCAAGTGGTCATTTCTAAAAGGTTGGTTGCAATGTGGATCTGAAACCAGATCAGTGAACTCATTCTCCATTATGTCAGACTCCATTCTTTTGCAAAGAATCTTGCACTTTGAATAAAACTTTTACCTGTACATGATTTTTTTAAACTACTTAGTAATTTGGAAAACACTGCTTCACTGAATTATGCAGATATTCCAATGCTGATACATTAAACAATATCAAAAAGTCACAGTCATATCAAAACATCACCCTCAATTTTTTTTTCTCCTGTCAGACATACCCTACCTGAGGATCACCCTCAATTTTAAAAGAAGCACCTGTCAAGGTATAATAGAAGCTGTCAAACTTGTATTCACCACTGAATTTTTCCAACATTATAATTTTTGCTTAAAATCTCATTTTATCATTGACATTTATCACCACTTGTTTTCTTCAAAGTGGAAAGACTTACGATTTTTGACAAAATGGCTGCTTGATACCCAATAACCAGTTTGTCAGCCATTTCTTAAAGTAAAAAGAGTAGTCTATGACAAAGCAGCTAGTTCAACTTGCAACTAGAACAGTCATACAAGTACTTTTCCTAAGATAACTACTCTAATATGCAGCAAAAGTGGTTTATACTTATATCCCATTCAACGATTGAGATTTTCAAGGAAAAATAATAATTTTTACTGTCTCATTAAGGACATTCCTTTGTACCGCAAGTGTGTGGTGGAGAAAAACACAAAGACTAATAGCACAATTTGAGTACCACCACCCTGATTCAAGCAAAGGTACCAATAGCTTTGTCCATCTTTGCTTTTTGTACTACCAGTTATATATCAATGCAATGAAAAAAGCAAATAGTGTCCTAATTTTTATTATGAAAATAGTTTAGACCTCATGGACCCTCTGAAATGATCCACAGACTGTATTTTAAGAACCACTACATAATATACTGTTAATCACTTTACTTTTTTCATTTTATAATATAACTTGGAAATCTTTCTACCTTAGTACAGAGAGAGCTCTTTTACTCTCTGTGGAATGGAAGATGTGTAGTATTCCATTATCAGAGATAGATCATCATAATAAATTAGTTCATTACTGGTGGGCACTTGGCTTATTTTTCATCCTTTGGTAGTTTAACAGTTAATAACTCTGTGTAAATGCAATTTCATTCATTCATTCACAGGAAAGGCCTGTGTATGTGGAGTATATCTATGACTATACATATATGTAGAGTTAGTTACCAGAAGTCAAAATGCTATTTTCTCCCTCTACTCTAGTGTGTTCTCTGAGACTTAGGTCTTTCTGAAGGTACTGCGGGGCTCAGTGATTCTCATTTTGTCAGAATCCCTGATTATATGCACACTTACTTCTGTCATGCTAAATTAAGTACCATTCTTCCATCCTCTTCTGCTTTTCACAAATTAACTGAACTCTCTCTCTCACTGAATAGAATAAGAATAAGCTATGTTTGGCCAGGCGTGGTGGCTCACGTCTGTAATCCCAGTACTTTGGAAGGCTGAGATGGATCACTTGAGGCCAGGAGTTCAAGACCAGCTTGGTCAATGTAGCCAGACCCCATCTCTAAAGCACAGAAAAAAAGGAAAAAAAAAAAAGAAGAAGAATCTATTCTTATGTCACTTGTCTTTGTGGACTTGTACTTTTTTTTTTTTTTTTTTGAGATCTCAGCTCACTGCAACCTCCGCCTCCCGGGTATAAGGAATTTTCCTGCCTCAGCCTCCCGAATAGCTGGGACTACAGGTATGTGCCACCACACCCAGCTAATTTTCAGATTTTTAGTAGACACAGGGTTTCATCAGGTTGGCCAGGATGGTCTCAATCTCTTGACCTTGTGATCCATCTGCCCTGGCCTCCCAAAGTGCTGGGATTACAGGCGTGAGCTACCACACCCAGCCAGGACGTGTACCTTTGTTATTCCTTTAATATGATCTTAGTAAGGTCTCAGGATGAGGAAAAAGTAAACAATATGTCAATAATCTGCTAGAACTGGTGAGATTTCATTTAAGTGCTTCTTCAGTTCTTAAAAGTAATTACTTCAGTATACATATATCTATCCACATATATACTTAACATATAAGATATATACATATATATATATATAACCAAGCTAAGCTTAAATATCACTTAAATTGACCAACTATAAAACTTTCTTATTATTCATTTTTGTGCATTTCCATTATACACACATGTAAGAGGCTAAGTATGCCATGGAAAGTAACAGATTTTCCAGTAAGAATATTTTTTTTATTATAATAATTTTTCTTGCTCTGTCACCCAGGCTGGAGTGCAATGGCACAATCTCAGCACACTGCAACCTCCACCTTCTAGATTCAAGCAATTCTCCTGCCTCAGCCTTCCAAGTAGCTGGGACTACAGGTACATGCTACCATGCCTGGTTAATTTTTTTGTATTTTTAGTAGAGATGGGGTTTCACTGTTAGCCAGGATGGTCTCGAACTCCTAACCTTATGATCCACCCGCTTTAGACTCCCAAAGTGCTGGGGTTACATTTTTTTTTTAAAGAGAAGAAAAAGAATTAAGAAAGAAAGGAGCTACTAACTTACCTTGGAGAACCATGTACATTTGTGCCTGAGCTGGCAGTAGATGTAAGATTCTGCTCTATGCGTTGATAATTCCTTATTTGAGTAGGAACTGGAATTGGTGCTGTTTCGCTGTGAGGTGACACAGTAGGCTGACACTGCCTGCAATCATAATTTATTGAAAAAGGAAAGAAACAGTGGTAGGACTGTTTTTGTTTCATTTGACCCATTAGTTATATTTAGAGAAAATTCTAGAAAGAGCCAAATGATCACTCTACTACCTTAATAAGAAATGATCTTGTTAAAAATATATATAAAGCCAAAAAAAATCACATTTATTATCTAAAAAACTCCTGGCACTCATATGCATATTGAGGACTAAGAATTACAATAACCTGGAAAAAAGCTCTTTACAACAACAGGAAAAGTCCACAGGTCAGCAAAACTGTTTCATCTACTCACATTCTGCTATTCATTACTATGTGAAAGAAAAAATATTCAGGAAAATATGCTGAGTAAAAGAACAGGAAGTTCAACAGCAAAGATGACTGGAATGTTTACAAAAGTCATGAATGCTGTAAGCAATCCCAAAGAGCTCTGACTTTATGAAGAGGGAGAACACATTGTACAAACTCTCAAAGCATGTGACTGATCTGATGTCCACATTTTGTAGTATTTGGTTTCTTTAATAGCCTCTTTCCTCACTTTCATAAATTCAGAAATAGAATATCCTTAAATCACTTTCAATTCAATTTACAAAATATCCTAAAACCCATCAGAGGTAACACTGGGCCCTAAGAGAGATGACTTATTTCAAAGTAAAAAGAAATATAAAATACTTCTGTAGTGGAGATGTTAGCTGCTTTCCAAATATCCATTCAGTCTATGTCTTACTAAAAAAGAGCTTAAATTTTATTTAGTGGTAATAATATGCCCAGTTAATTGTGGCACAACCCAGACTCCCTTATGGCCAAGGAAAGCCATATATCTTTCTTGGTCAGTGAGATATAAGCAGAAAGAAGTCTTCTATTCATTCTTCTTGCTCAAAATGTGAGTATGCTTGCTAGAGCTTCAGAAAATACCTTTGAACCACAAAGAAATGGCGAAAAGAACTGAAGACACCTAACTTCCTTAAGCCACAGAAACCAAGGAATCACTGTTTATCATGACTTTTCTTCATGCCAGAAAACCCTTTTAACCACACTACAGTTAGGATCCTGTGGTTTATAGCCAAGTGTAATTCCTCATGATACACCATTTAGTGTGCTGCTATGAGTTCTCCCTATACATTTTTATGTAGGTATTTCCATTTAGTATCTTTAAATACAATAACTTAGGTTTTTAGTATCTATACATCTGATTCTTCAGTTCATCTACATCCTAAAAACAAACAAACAAAACCCCAAAAAACAAAAACAAACCCTCTACCACTCAAAATGCTGTGATAGCTTAACAGTAGTTCACTAATCAGCACTGGTGCCTGGAAGCAAGTGCACTCACAAGTCTGACAACCCAAATTCCTTGACAACAGAATAACCAACACAGCCATCAAATATCAGAATGTGAACGAATAAATGCCATTTTTCTTTAGTTTCAATTCAGCAAGTAAACAGAGTTGCTGAAGCATTCATTCCCCGATGAAGTACATCAGGGAATTTTTTTAAACATACACATTGCCAAGTTCTAAAACTTTTCCTGTACTGGTTAATCTCCAAAGGGAAGAAGCTAAATATAGGTATCCAAAGAAGTAAACTTAGCAACCTCATAATTCTAAACACCTCTCTCAGATTACGTAATCTCCGCTGGCTTCATTAACACCTCTGGTTCCTCCCTCTACCAGCATGAGGACATGAACAGCCATGGACTGTGTTCTGTAAATGTTATCTCAGTCTCTGGATAGGCCCTGCAAGTAGACTTGCTCAGAGTCTTAAAGTCTTCCCTGGACAAATTCCAGATCTTCAGCTAGCTAAGACAACGAAGTAATTTTCCTGTACAACTTATATTATTAACACCAATATTTAACCATCACTCAACTCCCTGAGCCCAAGGTAAAAAGAGGGAAAGTCTATGTATGTCCTGAGTCTCCAGCACATCTTTCCTCACCTCCACTAGGACCTACAATTCACAACGTTCTGTGTGGACGATCATCTTTGACCCATACGAAATATGTGGAAGATGAGGCAGCCTAGCCACACAGTCAATCACAATGTTATTCTATCTACTCCTGTAAATGCTGAGAGGAAGGAACAAATGCAAAAGGACAAATGAAGACTAGGTGATAGCATGACAACTTCTTCAAATTCACAATCTTTACACCAGGAGATCCTCGGTTGCCTCTTTGTTTTAGAAGACTCCATGAATAAATCCTGAAAGGTTAAAAAGTAATCAGGAAAGCAAGAGTTCAGCTGGAAGCAATGCCAAGGGACAGAGGGAGAGAAGAAGAAAGGATCTATGCTTATAAGAGCTCCTGTGAAACTCAATCTGGCAGACTAATGCTAAGACATAACTGTGAGCTCATGCTCATGGGGCTGTGTAAGTGATAGGGAGCCAGGTGGAAACAACCTGCTAATTACCCAGAGGCCAAAGCAGCAACAGAGAAAGGCCTAGTCTAGCACACAGGCACACAGCTTGCAAGGTTTCAGTAAGAAAGGGGTTACTGCCTGTAAAGGGAAGCAATGAGAAAGGTAGAAATCTACTCAGATGGCTGACTCCGATGCAGCTGGCCTCCATCAATGCCTGGCAACAACCTGTCTTCAGAATTCTGATATCATAAATCCCACCCCTGTGCCTACTTTTTGCCTGGGTGCACAAGTAACAGATATTTGAATTCCCTTATCCTCAAAGAAAGAAAACAAACAAGTTTGAACAAGATTTGCTTATCCCCATGGTTCCCAAACTGTGCACTGACGAACCCCAAGGTACCACTGCTACTCAAGGGGTGCCTTAGAGTACATCAAATTGTTTAAGGTTTGGGAGGCTGAGGCAGGCAGATCACAAGGTCAGGAGTTTGAGACCAGCCTGGCCAACATGGTGAAACCCTGTCTATACTAAAAACACAAAAATCAGTCGGGTGCGGTAATGTGCGCATATGATCCCAGCTACTCAGGAGGCTGAGGCAGGAAAATCACTTGAACCTGGGATGCAGAGGCTGTATTACGCTGAGATTGGGCCACTGCACTCCAACCTGGACAACAGAGCAAGATTCCATCTCAAAAAAACTTGTTTAAAGAAACACACAGACACTTGGAAAACTATTACTACTATAATACACTAAAACTAATATTAAGATGTAGGCCAGGCTGGGTGCAGTGGCTCACACCTGTAATACCAGCTACTTGGGAAGCTGAGGCAGGAGAATCACTTAAACCTGGGAGGCAGAGGTTGCAGTACACACACACACACACACACACACACACACACACACACACACACGATGTGCCAAAAGTGGATTCCTGATCTTAGAGGAAAGGCTTTCAGTCATTTACCATTGAATATGATGACAGCTGTGGCCTTTTCATATATGACTTTATTATGTCCAGGTAGTTTTCTTCTATCTTTAGTTTGTTATTTCTATCATAAAGGGTGTTATATTTTAGCAAATGCCTTTTCTGCAGTAAGTCAGATGATTGTATGAGTTTTGTTAATGTGGTGTATCATATCACACTGAGTGATTTTCATTTGTTGAGCCATCCTTGTATACCAGGGATAAATCCTCCTTAGTCATGAAGGATGACCCATTTAATGTAGTGTTGAATTTTATTTACCAGTATTTTGTTGAGGATTTTTGCCTCTCTGTTTATCAGGGATATTAGCTTGTAGTTTTCTTTGTCTTTGCCTGGCTTTGGTATCAGAGTAATGCTGGCTTCATAAAATAAGTTTGGAAACGTTTTCTTCTCTTCAGTTTTTTGGAAGAGCTTGAGAAGGATTGGTATTAATTCTTTAAATGTTTGATAGAATCCACCAATCATACAGTGGTCCTGGGCTCTGCTTTGTTGGGAGGTTTGGATTATTATTGATGCAGTCTCCTTTCTAGTTATAGGTCTCTTCAGATTTTCTGTTTCTTTATGATTCAATCTAGATAGGTGTGTGTTTCTAGGGATTTATTTATTCTGAATTGGCCAATTTAGTTGTCCAGTTTACTGGTACACCATTGTTCACAGGATTCTCTTATAAATCTTTTCACTTATTTATGAATGAATGCCTGCATGAAAGACAGTCTTGCCGTGTTGCCTAAGCTGAAGTGCAGTGGCTATTCACAGACACAGTAATAGCACACTACAACACTGAACTCCTGGGCTTAAGCAATCCTCCTGCCCTAGCCTCCTGAGTAGCTGGGACTACAGGCTCGTGCCACTACACCTAGCTTTAACATGAGATATTTTAAACAAAGTATGAAGAAAAGTAAAATATGAAGAATGATATGATTGCCTGTGTACTTATCTCTCAACTCTGTTAAATCTTAATACTTTGTCTTTTAACAGTTTTTAAGAGAAACTATCATAAAGTCAATTGAAACCAAATATATACACACATGTAGATATGTGTGTGTATACAGTCCATAAGCAGCATAGTATTTTTGATATAAGTGGCATTAATGACATATGTTTTAGTTTTCGAAAAAAGTTTTTCACTCAATTAGGAAAAGTTAGAAAGGTAAGCTGAGGTTTTGAATGTTCCAGGCTTCAGTGGCGAAGTAAGGAAGGAAAACTTAGGAGACATATGAGCACAGGCTTTCTCTAGTGTTTTTATTTTTGCTTTTTGGTCTTGGTACCAAAGATATCTACAAAGAGATAGTATTATTCAGCTTTTGCTAAGTTAATGCTGTAGTAACAACCCCAAAACTTCAGTAGCTTACATAAAGGGTATTGTTCTTACTCCTGTTACTATTGGCTGTGGATCACCTGTGACTGTGCTTCACATGTGTTCATCTTTCATTGTTTTTGGGTTGAAAGAGCAGCTCCATCTGGGACATGCCATTCTCAAAGGAGAGGAAACAAGAGTGAAAGCAGAACTATGTAAGGCCCTGAAAGCTTCTTTTCTGACATCACTCTCTTACCAACTGCTTTGAGAATGGCATGTCCCACATGGAAGCTGCTCTTCCAACTTGCTTCCCAGGGGTTTGTGGCAGAGAGGAGAGTACACCATATAGAGTGTAGAAATGGGTCCAGGGAGAGGTAGTGAGTATTTTGAAAAAAATAATGCATTCTACCACAAGATATTAAGTGCAATGAAAACAGGAATATGAAAAAAATGTTAAAAGTTATGCTGTGTGGCCAGGCACAGTGGCTCATGCCTGTAATCCCAGCACTTTGGGAGGCCGAGGCAGGCAGATCATGAGGTCAAGAGATCAAGACCATCCTGGCCAACATGGTGAAACCCCATCTCTACTAAAAAATACAAAATTAGCTGGGCATGGTGGTGTGCGCCTGTATCCCAGCTATTTGGAGGCTGAGACAGGAGAATTGCTTGAACCCAGGAGGCGGAGGCGGAGGCTGCAGTGAGCCGAGATCCCACCACTGCACTCCAGCCTGGCACCTGGCATCAGAGCCAGACTCTGTCTCCAAAAAAAAAAGTTATGCTGGGTGCAAGATTAAAATGGTTGATGCAACTGAAAGACTTACTTCTCATGAAATCATGAAGATTTTGTATCTCCATATCACAATGGCTATATCTCATATGAGAATCTCTGTAATTTTAATAGTGATATATTTACTTCTTTCCTTAGAACCTCACTTTTACTGAAATAACTTTGAAATATTCTGTTGTACTGAAATGAGTTAATTATATTTAGAGTTCAGAAATTTTCTTGAAAGACCTAGTTCCAATCTTACAATATTAGGAAAATATAATTCAAGATATGGAATTTTTTTTTTTTTTAGACAGAGTCTCGGTCTGTCACTCAGGGTGGAGTACAGTGGCACAAACTCGGATCACTGCAACCTCTGCCTCCTGGGTTCAAGCAATTCTCCTGCCTCAGCCTCCTGAGTTGCTGGGATTATAGATGTGTACCACCATGCCCAGCTAATTTTTATATTTCTTTTAGTAGAGACAGGGTTTCACCATGTTGGCCAGGCTGGTCTCAAACTCCTGGTCTCAACTGATCTGCCGGCCACAGCCTTCCAAAGTGCTGGGATTACAGGCATGAGCCACTTCTCCCAGCCTAAGAATTTTACTTGTAGCATTCATTGGGGAACATATATATATATGTTATATAATTTTAACTAAAATCTTTGAAAGTCTTAAGACCTGAAGTTTTTAGCCACAGTGCTCTAGCAGTACTAGACACAAATGTAGTCTACTATTTCAGAAAAGCATTGCTTAGTAGTGCTTTTTAAACAAAATGCCATTTACAAAATCCAAATTTGAACTAGGAATTTTGGAACTGTGTTGTGTTAGTTTACCAGTAAAACAGATTAAGCTAGAAGTTCTTTGAGTGTTCAGTAATTTTTTTTTTTTTTTTTTGAGACACGGTCTCACTCTATCACCCAGGCTGGAGTGAAGGGGCATGATCTTGGCTCACTACCACCTCCCAGGCTCAAGCGATTTTCATGCCTCAGCCTCCCGAGCAGCTAAGGTTATAGATGCGTATCACTATGCCTGTCTAATTTGTTGTTTATTTAGTAGAGGCAGGGTTTTGCTGTGTTGCCTAGGCTGGTCTTGAACTCCTGCACTCAGGCAGTCTGCCTGTCTCAGCCTCCCAAAGTGCTGGGATTACAGGTGTGAGCCACTACTCCTGGCTGTGTTCAGCCATTTCTTTAGTGACTAGGCTTAATAGAAAGAAATAACTAGCAGTTCTGTTTGTTAATTAGTTCAGGCCAAACAACTTAATAGCAGTTGTGATTTATCTGTCTGTCTGCCTGCTTGCCTGTTTATTTGAGACAGGGTCTTGCCCAAGCTGGAAGTACAGTGGTGCAATCTTGGCTCACTGCAATCTCTGCCTCCCTGGTTCAAGCAATTCTCCACCTCAGCCTCCTGAGTAGCTGGGACTACAGGCATGCACCACCATGCCCGGCTAATTTTCTGTATTTTTAGTAGAGATAGGGTTTTGCCATGTTTGCCAGGTTGGTCTCAAACTCCTGGCCTCAAATGATCTTGCCCACCTCAGCCTCCCAAAGTGCTGGGATTACAGGCATGAGTCACCGCAACTGGCACTTTTATTCAACACAGTACTGGAAGTCCTTGCCAGAGCAATTATACAAGAAAGAAAGAAAAGGCATCCAATTTGGGAAGGAAGAAGTAAAATTCTCTCTGTTCACAGATGACATGGTCTTATAAGTAGAAAACTCTAAAGATTCCATACATGCATACAAAAACTAAAACTACTTGACAAATTCAGCAAAGCTGCAGGATACAAAATTGACACATAGGAAATCAGCTGTGTTTCTATACCCTAACAATGAACAACTGTTTATCTCCTATAAGGAAATTAAGAAAACAATCACATTTACAACAGCATCAAAAAGAATAAAGTATCAGGGCCAGATGCAGGGGCTCATGCATGTAATCTCAGCAATTTGGGAAGCCGAAGGCAAGGAGGGCTTGAGCCTAGGAGTTCAAGACCAGCCTAGGCAGCATAGCGGGAACTGTCTCTACTACCAAAGAAAAAAAAAATGCTGGGCATGGTGCACTTGAGGCTAATTTACTGGCAAGGCTGGAGTGGGAGGATTGCTTGAGTCCAGGAGCTCAAGGCTGCAGTAAGCTATGATTACGCCAGCCTGGGCAGCAGAGCAAGACCCTATCTTAAAAAAAAGAGAATAAAATATAAACTTCTCAAGGAGATGAAAGATCTGTATACTGAAAAAAATATAAAAAACTAATTAAAGAAGATGAAGACACAAATAAATGTAAAGATATCCCATGTTCATGGATTGAAAAACTTTATGTTGTTAAGATATCAATACTACCCAAAGGAACCTACAGGTTCAATGCAACCCCTATCAAAACCCGATGGCATGTTTTTGGAGAAAAAGAAAAACTCACCCTTAAATTTATATGGAATTTCAAGAGACTCTGAACAGTCTAAACAGCCTTGAAAAAGAAGGACAAAGTTGGAGGTCTCACATTTCCTGATTTAAAAACATATTTTGCTACAGCAATCAAAACAATATGTTATAGTACTGGCAGAAGACAGACATACAGACCAATGGAATGTAATAGAGAACAAAGAAACAACTCTTGTGGCCGGGCACGATGGCTTATGCCTATAATCCCAGTACTTTGGGAGGCCAAGACAGGCAGACCACCTGAGCTATAAACATAAAAATGGCTGAAATAGTAGATTTTATGTGTTTTATATCACAATTAAAATTTCAGACTGGGCATGGTGCCTCACAGCTGTAATCCTAGCACTTTGGGAGGCCAAGGCGAGCAGATCACCTGAGGTCAAGAGTTCAAGACCAGCCTGGCCAACATGGTGAAACTCTGTCTCTACTAAAAATATAAAAATTAGCTGAGTGTCACGGCACATGCCTATAATCCCAGCTCCTCAGAAGGCTGAGACGGGAGAATCACTGGAACCCAGGAGGTGGAGGTTGCAGAGAGCCAAGTGAGCACCAATGCACTCCAGCCTGGGCCACAAAGCAAGACTCTGTCTCAAAGAAAAAAATAACTAAATAAAATTTCAAGAAAAGAAATAATGGACTGTAAAACAAAATAAATCTTCAATCAAGAACACTAAGTTCTATAACCTTCCTCACAAAAATAAAATATAACAAATATTTCAATAAGAAATATGTAAATATACATACCCTCCACACACCAAAAACTCGTTTGAAGCACGTCTACCAGCAGTTCCCGTTGGCATGTCATCTAAAGGAGAGAAAAGTACAATCAGTTCCTGTTATACTATCTGCTTAAAAAAACACAAATTTGTTCCAGTATGATTATTAGGAAATAATTTCAGCGTAATGCAAAATGACCATCTGCTTATGTTATGATTTCATCTATAAGAAATAATAGATGACCACAGAAAGCTACACCTAGCTGAATACATAGGCTGCAACTCTTTGGATGCCCATTTCTATAAGCAAATTTGAGGTCTTCTTCAAAATAAAATGCAATATTTATTGCACTGTTTACATATTTCTTCACCACTAAACATGCAAAAACTGAGCTGTTTTTATCAGGTTCCTTTTTCTGTGTCAATGACAAAGGTGAGAGTTGTACCCTTAATACCATTTTGCACATAACTTTATAGCAAAATTCTGCATAGAACATATATATAATATAATAGAAGAACTGACCATATAACAAAGTCTAGTTGAATAAAATGTCAGATTAACCCATCCTCCTGCATCACACTCTCTCAGGTCTTGCATGAGTTGTTGAACAAAATGTCATGGAAGGCCAGGTGTGGTGGCTCACGCCTGGAATCTCATCATTTAGGGAGGCAGAGGCGGGAGAATAGCTTGTGCCCAGGAGTTTCAGACCTGCCTGGGCAACATAGCAAGACTCCGTTCTCAAAAAAAAAGATGTCACTGAAGCTGGGGCCTCTTGAATTTAGTAACACATGACACGGGCCATCCTCATCAACCTCTACATCATCTGCATATAGGAGTAGAGTGCAGCTCAGAACTCAGGAGCACCTCATTCACTGTCAGTTACAACCATTTTATCACATTGCCCTTTGTGATTTTAAATAGCTGTGAAGGTATAATATGTGTTGATGGCAAATAGCAGTGTTGAACAAAAAATATAAGCCTTTAAAACTAAACTATGCTTCTAACTTATTCTCAAAAAGGGAAAAAGAAGCCGGGCACGGTGGCTCACGCCTATAATCCCAATACTTTGAGAGGCCGGGGGGCGGGGGCAGATCACTTGAGCTCAGGAGTTCAAAAGCAGCCTGGCCAACATAAGTGAAACCCTGTCTCTACTAAAAATACAAAAATTACCTGGGCATGGTGGTACACACGTGTAATCCCAGCTACTCAGGAGACTGAGGTGGGAGTATCGCTTGAAGCTGGGAAGCAGAGATTGCAGTGAGCTGAGATCACGTCATTGCTCTCCACACTGGGCAACAGAGTGAGACTCGATTTCAGAAAAAAAAGGAGCGGGGAGCCGGGAATCAGGAAAGAAATCACAAATATCCCTCTGGCCCTACATAGGAATTAAGAAATGCATTGATTTGGTACATCTCAGGCCCCTGGTCTCACAAAGCGTATATATTCAAGTAGTAAAACAACACAATAATGCCAGGTAGCAACAAACATTATGAAGGAAAACAAACCAGGGTCAGGGAACAAAGAGTAGCAGAGGGAGGGATAAGTTCATTTCTATTTAAAGACAATGAATAGTTGCAAATAGGGGAATTGGGAAAACAGGGAGAGGAGGCAGAAATAGCAGCTAGATTTCACTAAGTGTACTTTCTTTCATAGCTTTGAGTTTAAAATCATACATAATTTTAAAGCAAAATTAAATCAAAAGAAAATAAAATCCCTAGAAATCAAAAGTAAAGGAATCTAACCAACCATGTATCAACCTGACAGCTTAATCACCAGAGGGAAATTATTTCAAGCAACTTTTTTTTAAAAATCTACATATTTTTGACACAGAGTCTCATTGTGTTGCCCAGGCTGAAGTGCAGCACATGATCTCGGCTAGCTGCAACCTCCACCTCCAAGGTTCAAGCAATTCTCAGCCTCTGGAGTAGGTGGGATTACAGGCATGTGCCACCACACCCAGCTAAATTTTGTATACTTAATAGAGACGGGGTTTCCCCATGCTGGCAGCTGTTCTTGAACTCCTGACCTCAAGTGATCTGCCCACCTCAGCCTCCCAAAGTTCTGAGATTACAAGCATGACCAACTGACCCAGCCTCAAGTAACTTTGAAACTCAATAATTTGATTGCATATACCCAATGGGATTATCCTAAGGACAAAAAAGATTCACAAAAAGATGTTAAATGGCTTTCAATGACCACATTTAAAAAAAATTTAAGTCAGATAGGACCCATAAATAGCCATATTTTAAGTAATAGTCATAGAGTTCTTTTGATACCATATTGTAATTTTGAAACTATAGGGGCAACGGGAAGGACAGGAAAGAGAAGAACCTAAACTCACAAGTACAAGAAGAACAGAAAAGTCGGGCTGGGTGCAGTGGCTCATACCTGTAATCCTAGCACTTTGGGAGCTGAAGTGGGTGGATCATGAGGTCAAGAGATCAAGACCATCCTGGCCAACATGGTGCAACCCTGTCTACACTAAAAATACAAAAATAATTAGCTGGACGTGGTGGCACATGCCTGTAGTCCAAGCTACTTGGGAAGCTGAGGCAGGAGAATCATTGGAACCTGGGAGGCAGAGGGTGCAGTAAGCAAGACTCTGTCTAAAAAAAGAAAAAAAAAAAAAAAAAAACAGAAAAGTCCACAGCCACCAAAATTTGCTGGAAGGTATAAAGTTGATGGATGAATTGTATTCGACTTAGTTGACCCAAGAAGATAGAACCTTAGCCCAGAAGTAAACCCATTTACATCACAGAACTCCAAAAGGCTGAGCAATCAGCAGTACCAGATACCTTTCAGAGTGGCACTGAAGGTAGGATTAAAAGCAGGATTGACTGAAAGTCTATTTAGAAGCAGTTAAAAGAGTTAATCGTAGTGTCCCTATTTAATAATTGAATAGATTATAGCTGCTCATGGAGGGAGAGGTGGGTAACTATGTGAGTTGATGAATATGTTAATTTATTTCACTATAGTAACCATTTTACTATGTACAGATGCCCCTCAACCTAAGATGGTGTCACTTCTGAATAAACCCATTGTAGGTTGATACTGTTTTAAGTAAAAATGCATTTAATACACCTCACCTACCAATCATGATGACTAAGCCCAGCTACCTTAAACATGCTCAGAACACTTACAGTGGCCTACAATTGGGAACACAAAGCCTATTTTAGAAATAAATGTTGAATATCTCATGGAATTGACTGTAGAGTCTAGCCTCGTCTGTTTACCCTGGTGATCATGGCTGCAGCTTGCTGCTGCCACCCAGCATCCCAAGAGAGTTCTGTACTGGATATTGCTAATACAGAAAAAGATCAAAATTCAAAATTTGAGGGATGGTTTCTACTGAATGCATATCATTTTCGCACCATCACAAAGTCAAAAAATTGTAAGCCAAGGACCATTTCTATTTCTCAAAATACAATGTATTTTTTACATAGAATTCTTTTTAAAAGAAGTGGTTAGAATTTTACATCCTTTCTCCAACCTTATACAGATAGGCAATGCCTATGTCCCACTATAGCAAAAAACTGGATATTCATACTTGAGACAGAGTAAAACAGAGGGTCTCTGGACTGCAGAACACCAGGAAAAATTAAAAGCAAGGGTACTCTGATAAAAGATTAGTGGAAAAGAGTTATTAAATGAAATTTTACACTGACTATTGAGAACTCCAGAATTCTTCCCCCATTTTGCTACTCCAGATAGTATCAGGTTTATACTCTTTAGGCAAAAGATTGGATGAGTCTCTGGGGGATCTGAGTAGCCCTCCAAAAAGAAAATAGTCCAAAGAATTGCCCCCACCATACCATTCATCAAAGAGGCTTACTGTCAATGAGATGATCCCATGTACAGAGCTCTCAAACAACTGTCAAATTCTCCATCCTCAGGAAGCATACAACAATATACTGCATGTTGAAATAAAAACAATATTCAAAGAGAAAAAAAACTTCTGAAAATTTAAAACACGAAAGCATAAAAGAAAAACTGTACAAGGGTGAGAAGAAACATTAATGAAGTTAAATTAGAGCAAAAAGGCAAAAGATGAAAAATCAGACCAAAATGATAAAAATCAGGAAGGCACTCCGGTATTTGTTATATATTGCTCTTAAACTGATAGCTGTTTTAAACATCTTGTATGTATGACATATTTCACAGAAACACATTTTTAATCATCAAAAAAAGGGCATGATCAACTGTAACAAATGTGGATATATCAGGACAATGAGGACTGAGAACTGGCCCCCAGGATTTGGCAGCACAACGATCTTGACAGGAGCAGTTCTGAAACATTGACATCACAACATAAAAGAAACAAGGTAACCAGAATAAAACAAAAGATGTGAATGCTCTTTATGTAGAAAGTATAAAGAAACTTAAGTAGAGAAATACACATTCATGCTTGACTTAATACTGTAAAGAACCTACCTGTCCCTAAATAAGTCATACTATACAGTCAATGCATTTCCCATCAAAATCCCAAAATGGTTTTTATAAACTTATCAAGCTGAAATTAAACAGTATGTGGGGGAAAGGGCCAAGAATACTGGAATGCTCTCCTGTCCTCTCTGACCACACACACATACTGACTCACACAAATTTTAAAATTATTATAATATAGACCAATAGACTAGAATAGCAAATCTTAAAAGAAACCCTATCTTGTATTTAAAGCTGACATGACAAATGTGACACCACATATCAGCAGAGAAAAGACAAATATTTAATAAATAGGACAAGTGATCAATATCTACTTTGCTCCATCTACAAAAATGAATTACAGGTAAAGTTATAGGTGGAAAAAAAATCTTTAGAATATAGGAGAACACCATTATAACACTAGGACAGCATGACAGAGAGTATCGGTACAAGTTGTTTGTACCAATATATTATAGAGTTAAAGTTGTAGATATCTAAGGTTTTTAGTAGAAGAAATTTTGGAACACGTACACAAGAATGTTTTATATATATTTTTGAGACAGGGTCTCGCTCTGTTGCCCAGGCTGGAGTGCAGTGGCACAATCATGGCTCACTACAGCCTCAAACTCCCAAGCTGAGACTATAGGCATGGGCCACCATACCCAGCTACTTCTTCTATTTCTTGGCAAAGGTGGGGTCTCTCCATGATGCCCTGGCTGGTCTTGAACTTGGGGGCTCATGTGATCCTCCTACTTCAGCCCAGAGAAGCTCTAACTACAGCTATGCACCACCATGTCTGGCTAACTTTTAAATTTCTATAGGGAAAGAATCACACTGTGTTGCCCAGACTGGTTTCAAATTCCTGGGTTCAAGCAATCCTTCCTCCTTATCTTCCCAAACTACTGGGATTACAGGTGTGACCCACAATGCATTTTGACCCTTATTACATTTTGGATAGAGAAATGGTAGAAATAACCCAAGTATAAATCAGTAGGGAAATGGATAAACAGTGTTTTAATTACATTGTAAAATTCAGGTATTAAAATGAATTTTGAATTTTAGAATATTCACATTATACTGAGCATTCCAAATGCGAAAATCTAAAATCTGAAATGCTTCAATGAGCATTTCCATTGAGCATCATGCTGGCACTCAAAAAGTTTCAGATTTGGGTGCATTTCAGATCTTCTAATTTGGCAGGCTCAACCTGTAACTGCAAAAACACAAAAATTCTGCATCGTGTATGGATGCAATTATATATAGAAATATAAAATCTACAGGAAGAATATACTTCTACCAAGAGTAGAAAGAGAAAAGGCACTTTTGCTGTACTTACCAGAATTATATCTTTTTAAAAAAGACATCTAAGACAAATATGGCAAAATGTTGACCTATATAAGTAACACAGCCTAGTGGGTGCCTTGAGTATCTGCTATATTATTTTGTTTGAAATGTTTCATGATTTTAAAAGTTTTAATTACTTTTTGTAAAAAAATAAAACCACTGTACTAGATGACTTTTATAGATAACTCTCACAGTGCTGGTTATAAACTGCCACAGCACTGCGGCTGCAGTCCATGTTTTCTCTTCCCCAGTCAGCTAATACTTAATGACATTCAGCCTAGGCATTACGGTCTTCACAACAACTAGCACAACTAGCACAGTGCCTAGAATGAGCATCTACTAAATAAGTACTAGACGAACAACTAAAAAGACCTGATACAAACTTCTGCACATAGTCAGCACTTGCTATTATTCAATTTTTAAGGTAATCAAATCTCTAGTTTTTCTGATACTATTCCTTTATGACCAAACCATGGTTCTTTCTGTTTAGTAGTTTTACATAATCTCTCCTTTTTGTAGGTTTTCTGGTATCCTTCACTATTCCAAAGTACACTGGCTCTATTTAGTCACTTGAATTCTAGTTCCTTTATGAAAATTCTTCCCATATATCTATGAAGCATATTCCTTAACTTAGAAAAGTATTTTCTGAAGGATGTTCAGATTGTTTAACACTCTTCTGACTCAGGTTTTTCCCTAGATGAGTTGTTCCTTTATTTCCTTAGTTTCACTCATTCGGCTGGTTTCTCTATTTCTATTTGGATACAAACAGAATTTGGTATCATTTCCTTTAAAGTTTTCATGTACCTTCAGAATCCAAAATTACTGTTTAATAGAAGATGACTGAGCAAATTTTAGAAAGGTAGGAATACAATTCTGAGAATTCAAACAACTAAATAAAATGCTCATTTGAAAAGGTGCCCTACACAAGAAAATGTAATATGTGGGTTTTAAAAAGATGCTAGTTTAGTAGATTAAGAAATATAATATGTACAAGTAAGTAGAAAAGATTCTCACATGAGTGGTCTGACGAGATGTTGTGTGGCACCAAAACAAAGTCATCCGTGTCACAAGAAGAATTCTTGCTACTAGTACTGGCAGAATCTTTGGAAACTTGTAGATAGTTGGGAGGACCCAATGGTGGGGAAGATAAGTTTTCTTCCTGAATATGCTGCATATCTGGAAGGGACTAAAATTAACAACATAAAATTAAAACTGGCCTAATAATCAAATGCAAGTCAGAATAGCAACTAGACTAAGGAAATTTTTTTTCCCACAAAAGTGGGCATAAAGTCCAATTCCATCTAAGGTTCAAAAAATCTGGAAAAGCTTTCCTTTAGAAACCCTTTCTTTTAAAAGTGTTTGCATAGACTTCTAAAATGTTTTCCAAAAATGATACTTAAAAATATATTATACCACTTATCACACGTACTTGCCTCCCTCTCTGGAAGTTTTTGAGAAAGGTGAGTTTTTATTATCACAACATCACCAGTTCTAGCTCATGGCCTAACAAAGCAGATACTTAATAACTGTCCACTTAATGACTAAACACAAAATGTTCAGATTTTAAATTAATGACATCTTACACACACCAAAGTTTTAAATCTATTATGAAGAAAAATTACAAGCAGGAAAGCAAGAGACCACATTATGTAAAAAAGTAGACAAATCAGTAATGTTGCCCGCACTTAAGACCAGAAATGTATTTATAGACTTGGAAAACCTTACAGGTATGCATGTGTTCCTTTTGTTTTTGTTTAACAGTGGGAGTAGTTGGTTTGTTAGTAGGAGATAGGACGGGAAGGGAAGAAAAGCATGTAAATATATTTAAACAAATACTTAAGATATAACTAGCTACATATCTTTTGTCCTTTATCTAGTTCAAGGACCCTAGCTGACAACTCATTGAATATCTTGATTATACAATGGTTTTCTACAACAATGAACTTCATAGCTTGTTGTGTTAAGCCCCTATTAACCTGTTTCATCTTTGCCTCTATTTAAGGAAAGGAAAAATTTTACATTATGCTCTTCAAACCCAAGCTTTAACTACCTGGTTCACTGCTGCTGCTCCTTTGAATATCATGGTGCCATGATATAGGTCATGACACATTTTTTGAAGAGACTTTATGTCTCAAGGTAACGAAGGGAAGGGAAGATGGAAGAACTAGGACTACTGAGCTTCAACCATGGGCTAGGCACTGTTAGGAGCTTTCCATGTTACCTAACTTTAGCCCTATTCTGAACTCCATTTCACATATAAATAAAGTTCAGAGAGGTAATTTGCCCTAGATCACACAATTAAAAAGTAGTAAAGCTGGGCTGGGTGGGGTGGCTCATGCCTGTAATCCTAGCATTTTGGGAGGTGGAGGTGGGCGGATCACGAGGTCAAGAGATTGAGACCATCCTGGCCAACACGGTGAAACCCTGTCTCTACTAAAAATACAAAAATTAGCTGGGTGTGGTGGTGCACACCTGTTGTCCCAGCTACTCAGGAGGCTGAGGCAGAAGATCACTTGAACCCAGAAGGCGGAGGTCACAGTGAGCCGAGATCATGCCACTGCACTCCAGCCTGGTGACAGAGTGAGATTGTCTCAAAAAAAAAAAAGGAATCAAGCTGGGATGTGATTCTAGGTATCTACCTCCATGATTTCTTTTCAGTGGTTTAGGCAGAAACTTTCCCAGTTTCTCAGTTTTTTTCTCCTACTATCTACAACCACCCTGGTCATTCTGTCTCCTAAAAGACAAGATGCTTTTCTTCCATGGGATCTCCTCTCTCTACCTGTTGCTCTGCATCCCATGCTCCTCTATGTCCCCAATGACCTAAAAAAAACTCCCCTCAGCTCCTGACATTTTCACCCTCTCCCTTTATTAAGGCATTTTTCCCCTCTGCAAATAACCATGTTTAACTTTCTCACATCTCAAATCCCTACAACCCTCTTGAACTACCATCTCTTCATTTCTTTATTCTTTTTTTTTTGAGACAGAATATCACTCTGTCACCCAGGCTGGAGTGCAGTGGCACAATCTCGGCTTACTGCAACCTCTACTGCCCAGATTCAGATTCTTCTGTCTCATCCTCCTGAGTAGCTGGGATTACAGGCACCTGCCACGGGGCCTGGCTAATTTTTGTAGCTTTAGTAGAGACGGGGTTTCACCATCTTGGCCAGGCTGGTCTTGAACTCCTGACCTAATGATCCACCCACGTAGGCCTCCCAAAATGCTGGGATTACAGGCATGAGCCACTGTGCCTGGCCTCTTCTTCATTTCTTAAGGTTTCTTGAAATTATCATCTTCACTGACTCAAATTTATCACAACCTATATATCCCTTAATTCATCATAACCCACTCTGTCTTTAACCCTTCAATAAAATTGCCTTTACTAAGTTTACCAATAATTTCTACTGCCGAGTCCAGCAGGTATTTCCCCTATTCCTTAAAGTACTTGAACTCTGCTCCATCTGCACTGTAGACCATTCTTCTAAATACTCTTCCCCTTCATTCAGTGATCCTATTCTCTCGTCTTTCCTCCTACTTCTTGGGGACACCTTCTGAGCCTCTTTTGTGAGTACATACTTCTCATTTGCCCCTTAAAAAGGAGGAGGAGATGAGTATAGAGTTCCACAGGAGCCACTCTGGGCCCTTAAAACTTTACTTGTTGTATTCACCCTAGTGACCATGCTCACCGTCCCGCCTACCTTTACCACTCACAAAATGATGGTTCCTACTTTTTTTTTTTTTTTTAAGATGGAGTCTCCCTCTATCGCCCAGGCTGGAGTGCAGTCGTGCAATCTTGGCTCACTGCAACCTCTGCCTCCTGGGTTCAAGCAATTCTCTAGCCTCAGCCTCCCGAGTAGCTGGGACTACAGGCATGTGCCACCATACCTGGCTAGTTTTTGTATTTTTAGTAGAGACAGGGTTTCACCATATTGGCCAGGCTGGTCTCAAACTCCTGACCTCATGATCTTCCTGCCTTGGCCTCCCAAAGTGCTGGGATTAAAGGCGTGAGCCACCGTGCCCAACAGTTCTCACATTTTGATCTCCAGCCAAGATTCTGACGAGTTCACTTGCCTATACAACAAATCCATGCCTGTACATTAACTCATCATCTTTATATTCCAAAGCACTGCTCCTCAGGTTCCCTCAGAGTGACCCTGCCAGGCAGCCACTGTAACCAGCAAGGTCTCTCTCTTCGTCAGGTCCCAAGTTCAAGCAATCCTCAAGATCTGTGTGCTCTTTGCCTTTCTCTTACCTGGCTCTTCTCTTCTCCTTTCCTACTGCCACATAGTTCAGGCTTCGTTCTCAAAATAGCAATGATGACAATGACAATAATGATGATAATAACAAAAGGTGCAAGGGTCTCAAGGTGTTCTCTCTCCTCTAGTGGAGACCTCTCTCACTCTAACCTAGTCTTCCACCCTGCTTTTGGGAGAATCTAGCTAAAACACACAATGGACATATCACTCTTCACTTTAAAGTCATTCCAATAGCTCACTACAACTTTTAAGGATGCAACTGAAATTCCTTTGCTTGACATCCAAATCCTGTTGAGCCTCTGCCACCTCTCTAGCTTTCTTTTCCCCTCACCCATCACCAATGCTCTCTACATCACCAAACTGAACTGAGTGCAGCCTTCTCCTTTCTGCAATGATAGAAAAGGCCTATATTTGAGCTATCCACCATGGGAGCCACCACCTAGCTAAGGCTACTAAGCACTTGAAATGTGGCTGGTGTGAATAAGAAAGTGAATTTTAAAATTCACTTTATTTCTTTTTTGGCACAATAAAATTCTTGTTTATTGCTGGACAGTATTGTTTCACACATACATCAAACAGGCCAAAAAAAGCAAATGGCGACTTCATAGACAAAAAAGGGAAAAAAAAGAAACCTTTTATATTTGACCTTATTAACCATGTCATACAAACCAACTACTTATAGTAGAGCTAAGTACATATACAAAAAAGTTACTGGAATGCTTGGAATAAGATTGTTTTTCTGTTGTTGTTTTTGCTTATTTCACAAGGCTTTTTTTCTCCTTTGAGATTATAATGAACATGGTCACACAAGTCAGAAGTAGGACAGAGAATGCTCCAAGGGCTGGTTTGGTCATCCGAGATCATTAAAAAATGGCTGACCTAACAATACGTACAAAAATATAAAATGTAAATAAAAAATACAAACAAATTTCCTTTTTAAAGTACTTTTAAAAAAAAAGCAGGACTTTGGAAGTTTTGGTTCTTTTTTCCACCCTTGTTGCAAACTCTCATGGTTTGGGCTGGGTGGTGAAGAGCATGTGTTATCTGCAGGTGACACTGCCCACAGTGGGTGGGCTTCTCTACTCAAAGGTAATCACTTTTAGATTCTGAGATGGAGTCAAGGGTGAATAGGTCACCCTTTTTTTTTTTTTTTTAGTTTGACTTTTCCTTTTTTGCTGTCTAGTCATCCTAATTGGTCTTCTGCTTCTTGGTATCGACATCGTTAAGCTCATCATCTTCAGCTGCTTGCTTGCTTGCCTGTAGCAGACTCAGCTTCCTTTTCCTCACTATCACCTTCTTCTTCATCCTCTTCCTCCCCACCTTCTTCCTCTTTTTCATCTACCTCATTGTCAACCTCCTGCTCTCCATTTTCCTCATTATCATTTCCATTAACAGGGGCATCTCTTCCCTTTGTCACCTCTTCCACAACTTCCTCCTTCTTAAGTCCTTGGGTAGTAATTTCGAAGCTGGTGTCCACAGCTGCATCTGACATGGTAGGGCAAGCCAGTGATCCAATGCAGGGGATTAAAAAGAAAGTGAGAGTCAGGGACTCTGGCGATAAAGCTGCTGGAGTCCGTGGTGGCTGAGGTGGCTGCTGTGAGCACGGAGTCGGACAGAGGAGCAACAATGCAAGGATGACTTTTCAGAGCAGCCAATGGGGCAATTCACTTAATCTTAACAAATTTAAATGTAAATGGCCACGGAGAGCTAGAGAATTCCTTCAGTGGCTCATGCTTCTATGACTTCCAGTACAGAAATTCTTCTGCTTACAGTATCATTCTTTCACTAATTCATCTTGCAAACTTTCTTCAAAACTCAGCTCAAACAATCCCCTCTTCTGAGTAGCCTTCCTAAGTCCTTAGTCTAATTTTGATGTTCCCTATTCACATTCCCATAAGCAATGAAGACACATATATATATGCTTCTAGCAATGATTGAGTTACCCACCTCTTCTCCATACAATTAAATCAAAACCGCTTAATGTTAAGGACCTGGCCATCTCATTCATTAGTATAAACCAGAACATCACACAAAGTATTCAATAACTGTTATAAAATGAATACATAGGCCAGGTGTAGTGGCTCACACCTGTAATCCTAGCACTTTGGGAGGCCGAGGCAGGCAGATCAGGTCAGGAGTTGGAGGACAGTCTGGTCAACATGGCAAAACCCTGTCTCTACTAAAAATATAAAAATTAGCTAGGCGTGGTGGCTCACTCCAGCTACATGGGAGGCTGAGGCAGGAGAATCACTTGAACCCGGGAGACGGAGGTTACAGTGAGCTGAGATCACACCACTACACTCCAGCCTGGGTGACAGAGCAAGACTGTCTCAAAAATAATTAAATAAATAGGTAGGGCGAGGTGGCTCACGCCTGTAATCCCAGCACTTTGAGAGGCTGAGGCAGGCAGATCACCTGAGGTCGGGAGTTCAAGACCAGCTTGACCAACATGGAGAAACCCCGTCTCTACTAAAAATACAAAATTAGCCAGATGTGGTGGTGCATGCCTATAATCCCAGCTACTTGGGAGGCTGAGGCAGGAAAATCGCTTGAACCCAGGAGACAGAGGTTGCAGTGAGCCAATTACACTCCAGCCTGGGCAAGAAGAACAAAACTCTGTCTATAAATAAATAAATATTCAAGATTTACCATCTAAATAGCATTTAATCTCTAGTCAGTATCAATAATTAAAAGAGCAATTTGGAGGGTTTTTTTTACTGGTCATAATTTTTTGTTTTTAAGGGGACGACAATTCTTCTGGAATAAAGTAGCAGCTAAATATTTACCTGAGAATGTAAAAAAGACAATGTTATATTGCATGCCTGTGTACATCAAGCCTCTGTATGATTCTACACTAGTCCTAGGAAGGGGACACATGTATGAAATCATCTTATTTTTGGCAGTTTATGTTAAATATAAGGTCCCATCAAACCATTCCATTTTCTGATCCCACTAACTAAAAATTATATACAAATGTTCCTACTTTCCTTTTTTCCCCTGCTTTCCACTTCATTTCCATTTTTTTAAAAGCCTTCCTAAAATGGTGTTTATTTGGTTGGTTGGTTGGTTGGTTGGTTTTTGAGACAATGTCTCTCTGTACGCAGGCTGAAGTGCAGTGGAGCAATCACAGCTCTTCAACTCGGGCTCAAGCACCCAGCTAATTTTTTATTTTTTGTAGAGAGGGGATTTCACCATCTTCCCCAAGCTGGTCTCGAACTCCTAGGCTCAGGCAAACCTCCCACCTTGGCCTTCCAAAGTGCTTCCAGGTGCGAGCAAGCACACCCAGCCAACCTTACCTTTTTTTTTTTTTTTTGAGACAAAGTCTGGCTCTGCAGTAGTACAATTTCAGCTCACTGAAATGTCCACCTCCCAGGTTCAAGTGATTCTCCCACCTCAGCCTCCCAAGTAGCTGGGATTACAGGCGCACGCCACCACACCTGGCTAATTTTTTAATTTTTAGTAGAAACAGGTTTTCGCCATGTTGGCCAGGCTGGTCTCAAACTCCTAACCTCAAGCAATCCACTCACCTCAGCCTCCCAGACTGCTGGATTATAGGCATGAGCCAGTGAGCCTGGCCTAACCTTACTTTTTAAAGAACTCTAATGAATAAGACATAAAAAGGGTATGTTTATGCCAGTGACTTATTTTGAGATGGCGTCTCACTCTGTCACCCACACTGGAGTGTAGTGACGCAATCTCAGCTCACTACAGCCTCTCCCTCTGGGGTTCATTCTCCCACTTCAGCCTCCTGAGTATCGGGGATTATAGGCACATGCAGCCATGCTCAGCTAATTTTTTATTTGAAAAAAACACTGAGACGCAGGGTTTTGCCATGTTGGCCAGGCTGGTCTCAAATTCCTGACCTCAAGGGATCCACCTGCCTGGGACTTTCAAAGTGCTGGGATTATAGGCGTGAGTCACCACACTCAGCCATATTGTATTTTTTTTTAAAGAGTACATATAATTTCAGAATGGGAACCTGATTTGCTGCAAATAAAGATACTTAATTAGGCCAGGCACAGTGGCTCACGCCTGCAATCCCAGCTACTCAGAAGGCTGAGGCAGGAGAATCGCTTGAACCTAGGAGGTGAACATTGCAGTGAGCCCAGATCGTGCCATTGCACTCCAGCCTGGGCAACAAGAGGGAAACTCTGTCTGTAAAAAAAAAAAAAAAAGAAACTTGATTAGGATTTACTTTTTTAAGAGAGGCAGGTTCTTACTATGTTGCCAAGGCTGGTCTTGAACTCCTAGGATCAAGCAATACTCCTGCCTCAGTAAAAATAGGTTTGTCCACCAGAGTTTTTAACATCTAAAAAGTCTTTCTCTCTGTCCTGCCTCTCTTCACTCTTCCAGTTAGTTCTGCATTCACCTACTCCTTGACAGTCTAGCCTGGCTCCTATTTTGTTCTCCTCTTTCAACCAACAAAAACCTCAAAATGCTCTCTCCAGTCAAAGGAAATTTCCAGTTCAACATATCCCTGCTGGCCTCTCATCCCTCCGTCACACTACCATCCCACAGGCTCCTTTATGTTTGCTCTCCCAAAATTAGATTCTTCTCTGTTGTTCTCTTCTCTAGCACAAGCTTGCTTTTCATATCACATTGTGTCAACTATATGGTTTATAATAATAGCCACAATTTATAGAGAATTTGCTATGGCTAGGCACTTCCCACATACCACTACCAGGAGCCTGCAAGCAAAGGTTAATCAAGTCTATGGTCCAGATGAGGGCTCCATAGCCCACCTCTCTAACTGACTAGTCCAAAGTCACTGAGCGGGCAAGCAGCAGGGCTAGGATTGGTGACAGTGTGCCTGGCTCTTAATTTTTTAGTCCACAAGAATATAACATAAGACTTATTAACATAATCTCCATTATCTATTTGGTATGAATTCTCAGGGCTGCGTAAGAAAGGTTTGGTGCCAGTTTTGAGACTTGTCTGTTTGCAACAGGTTACATGTGCACCTGCTTTATCTAACAGTTGACACTTCCTGCGTTATATACTATGTGCCAGACACTACATGCAGTAAGTGCTTGCACTCACTTATCCCTGAAGAACCCTATGAGGTAGGTAAATTATACTCACTCGACATATTTTAAAAAAGGTGTCCTAGTTAATATGACAGGTAAGGGATGTGGAGGCTCCAAGCCCCATCCACTTAAACCTCTAAGTTGCCTCACTTTTATGGTTCCCCTACCTTTCTGCCAGCGGAATTCAAGAAATTCAAGTCTGGGGCTGGGTGCCATGGCTCACACCTATAATCCTAACATTTTGGGAGGCCAAGGCAGGCAGATCACTTGAGGTCAGGAGTTTGAGACCAGCCTGGCCACCACAGTGAAACCCCATCTCTACTAAAGATACAAAAAAATTAGCTGGATGTGGTGGCATGCACCTGTAGTCCCAACTACTTGGGAGGCTGAGGCTGGAGAATTGCTTGAACCCAGGAGGCGGAGGTTGCCAAGATTACACCACTGCACTCCAGGCTGGGCGACAGAGCAAGACTCCATTTCAAAAAAAACAAACAAAAACCTAAGAGGAGAGCTAGGTAAAACCCTGGGAGAGAAGAGTAGGAAGAAGTGACTAGAGTGATCAGAAGGCCTCGGGATTAGGAAGAAGTACTAAGATGGGAGGGAACACAGCCATGAAGAAAATGGCTTGGGAGATTCAGGGAAAGGAAGAGGTTTGAGTAGAAGCCACCTTAGAGGGCCAGAAATCATGATTAAGAGAATCTAAGTCAGAGAAATCTGGCTCAGAGGTGGCTCCTCCATCAGTAGAAATTCCAAGTACAAAAAAATCCAAGCTCATGTCTACTGCATTCAGACAAAATAAATATCTACTGCCTATCCAGCTGTAATGGGTACTCTTTGTTTACAAGTATCATCACCAAAATACCATACAGTATAAAAAGGTGATAGTACTGTACTCACTGTTCAGAGGAAAATGGCCCAGAGAGGTGGCATTTCTTGCTGAAGCTTACACAGTAACATATGGGCAGAGGTCCGAATACAGGTCCCTTTGACCCAAGTATAATGCTCTTTCTCCCAAACCTCAGCTGCATTAGTAAACATTATGCATAAAGAGAATAGCCACAGCATATGTGCATGTTCCATTTGAGAACAGATGTAATAGCACTAACTCTGAAATTACTTTTAATAAAACCAGAACTTACTGGTGGAGAAGCAAAACGACAAGATGGAGAGCCGACACAGGAGCTTCCAGAGACAGAACCAGAATAAACGGGCACTGGAACTGGGCAAGCTGGGGGAAGAAACACAAATGAACTACATCATTTTATAGTGCAGTCACATGATCTGTATAATAGAAAAACCTGCCAAAACTACCACACCTTTGTGTTCCCCAAAATTTGCATTCACCTACATATTATCATAGCTGATGAAACTAAAAATGCAGCAATTACTAAAACTATTCCAACTTTGTTTCAGAAGGAAAAATAGAACTGTCATTATAAACACAATTCTAGGTATCTAAGAAAGTCAGGCCAGGCACAGAGGCTCACTTTTATAATCTCAACACTTTGGGAGGCTGAGGAGGGAGGATCACCTGAGGTCAGGAGTTTGACACCAGCCTGGCGTACATGGTAAAATCTCATCTCTACTAAAAATACAAAAATTAGCCAAGTGTGGTGGTGACCACCTGTAATCCCAGCTACTTGGAAGGCTGAGGCAGGAGAATCACTTACACCAGGAGGCAGAGGGTGCACCACTGCACTCCAGCCAGGGTGACAGAGCAAGACTCGATCAAAAAAAACAACAACAACAAAAAAAAAAAACGTAAATTCAATGAAATTTTAATAGGCACAGTAGAAGATTAATTTTGTAATAAAAAAATCATTAATTTTTCCTAAAGCCTGCATTCATTCTTAAATAAAAATACAAAAAATGGGTACTCACATTTCTTAATTGGAACTTGCTCAAGAAAAGGATGACTAAAAAATGCTTCTGTAATGAGAAATGAGAATGCAACCTTTAAAGAGACATTGACTAAAGTATCAACAAGGCTATTTTACTCAATGTATTCAACATAATGTCTAAGATCAGAAATAAATTCTTCATATAGCCTCCATTTCCTTTAAATGTAAAAGCATATTTTTATAAATCCTCTATAAAATAATTATTTTAATAATATGTAAAATAATGTATCAATAAACACTAAGTAATTATGAATTCTCAAAACATCTATCACCAACACAACATCCTCTGATGCTACTTACACAGACATGTTCTCTAAAGAATGCCACCCTCTAGCGGACAGCCACACGAGAGAACTGTGATCACCAGGACCGTATTAAGCAACCATGTTAACTACACCTGTCAATTGTCCTGAGAGGAAACTGAGACAGCTGATTTATACAACAATCTATCCTTTGCCCCTAGAAGTATTCCAGATTCTGGTTTCACATTTAAAAATAAAAAAAAGCTGGGCACACACGGTGGCTCACACCTGTCATCCCAGCACTTTGGGAGGCCAAGCCGGGCAGATCACAAGATCAAGAGATGGAGACCATCCTTGCCAACATGGTAAAACCCAGACTGTACTAAAAATACAAAAATTAGCCAGGTGTGATGGCACGCACCTATAGTCCCAGCTACTCAGGAAGCTAAGGCAGGAGAATCCCTTGAACCCAGGAGACAGAGGTTGCAGTGAGCTGAGATCGCAGCCACTGCACTCCAGCCTGATGACAGTGCAAGATTTCATCTCAAAAAAAAAAACTGGCCAGGCATGGTGGCTCATGCCTGTAGTCCCAGCACTTTGGGAGGCCGAGGAGAGCAGATCACCTGAGGTCAGGAGTTTGGGACCAGCCTGGCCAACATGGTGAAACCTGGTCTCTACCAAAATACAAAAACTAGCTGGGTGTGGTGGCGGGCGCCTGTAATCCCACCTACTCAGTACGCCGAGGCGGAAAATCACTTGAGCCTGAGAGGCAGTAGTGAGCAGACACTGCATTCCAGCCTGGATGACAGAGCTAGATTCTGTCTCAAGAAAAAAAAAAAAAAGAAAGAAAAACTGGCTGGGTGTAGTGGCTAACACCTGTAATCCCAGTACTTTGGGTGGCCAAGGTGGGTGGATCATTTGAGGTCAGTAGTTGGAGACCAGCCTGGCCAACATGTAAAACCCTGTCTCTACTAAAAATACAAAAATTAGCCAGGTGTGGTGGCAGTTGAGTGTAATCTCAGCTACTTGGGAGGCTGAGTTCCAGTGAGCCAAGATCATGCCATTGCACTCCAGTTGGATGACAAGAGTGAAACTCCATCTCAAAACAAACAAACAAAAAAACCCAAAAAGCTATTAATTTCAATTTCTTCAGCTATCCACCAAGGTTAAAATCTACATGATAAGCCTGCTAATTAGCCAAAGATAAGTTAGTAAGTACATGGAAGTTCATTATTTTAGTCTCTTTATTTCCTATGTTTATTAAAACCCACAAACATAATCTCATTTATCATTAGGGCTCAGACTTTTATATTAACTGTGTATTAATATTTGAATATCACAAGTAGCTGGGCATGGTGTTGCATGCCTGTAATACCAGCTACTCGGCAGGCTGAGGCAGGAGAATCGCCTGAACCCAGGAGGCAGAGGTTCCTCTGGGTTCTGTGGTGAACTGAGATCATGCCATTACACTCTAGCCTGGGCAACAAGAGTGAAACTCTGTCTCAAGAAAAAAAAAAGAGAATTAGGTTGAAAAGAACAATCTTTTACATAAGGATGGTAAGAACAAGTCAAAGAACCATCCCCACAGAGAGGAACTAAGAACCAAGCAATTTCAGGGATAAATGTTCTTCCAAAACCAGAACCAGGGGTGGGATAGAGGAAAAACAAAAAGCAGAACTGGAAAATCCCTACAAGACTAAATGTTCCAAGTTCTTTTACTATATGTGAAGTGGTTTTAAAAAAATTAGTGAAGACAGACTGTGGTATATTGAACTGCTCAGAGGGAAATTATTAGCCTAACACCCATGTTATAAAAGAAGGCCCCAAATCAATATTCCTACTGTAAGAATCTAAAAATCTAAGAACGAGGCCTCTGAGACTACAAGCTGCTCTCCCAAAGCCTCAGTGAGAGCAGAGCTGCCACAGGGCCTATTCCTAAAGAGCCACCACATGGAGCTAACCCTCTCTAAGCCCCATCTTTGAGGCCATGGTGTTTTACACCAAGGGTGTCTCTCCTCTCTTCCCTCCCAGATCTAATGATCAAAGAAATGAAAAAGCCTGGAGAGAGTTTCAGGCTCTGGGTACTTTCTCTGCAAAGCCAATCCGGAATCTGGCCAACTACCTATCATGTTGCATTCCTATGCATGCTACAAAAGTCAACCTCCACAGCACCAAGAGCCCTGGCCACAGCTTGCTGGCACTGGTGTAGACGTGTGGGCCTTTCTAATTATAGAATCCAAGAAGAGCAAATGCTTAACAGAAACTGATAAAATCACCACTTAAGAATAGTGGTCTTCCCACCTCATAGTAGTTCAAGAAATATCTTCTGTTCTCATAGAGGTCCGCTTTCTTATTTCCCTCCATTTTTCTATGTAAAACAGCCTGAGGAAGGTAGCTTGTTCAAATGGTTAAACTTTTTGCTGTTTTTATTTTTCCCCTCCCTCCTACTGCTGCCTGGTTAAGCTTGTTATAAATAAGAATTTAAAATAAACGAGTAGTATCGTGGGAATATAAAAAAGTAGAACCATCAGAAATGTATGTCACACCAGTGAATTATACACTTAAAAATGATTATGATAGGCCAGACATGGTGGCTCACCTCTGTAATCCCAGCACTTTAGGAGGCCTGAGGCAGGTGGATCACCTGAGGTCAGGGGTTTGATACCAGCCTGGCCAACATGGTGAAACCCCCTCTCTACTACAAATACAAAAAATTAGCAGGGCATGGTCGTAGACACCTATAATCCAAGCTACTTGGGAGGCTAAGGCAGGAGAATCACTTGAACCTGGGAGGCAGAGGTTGCAGTAAGCCGAGATCACGCCGTTGCACTCCAGCCTGGGCAACAAGAGTGAAACTCCATCTCAGAACAAACAAACAAATGATTATGACAGTAAAATTTATGCAATGTATATTTTACCATGATACAAAATTGTTGAAAAGAGGCTAGGTGCAGTAAAACACGCCTGTAATCCCAGCATCAAGAGGCCAAGGCAGGAGAATCACTTGAGGCCAGGAGTTTGAGATCAGCTTGGCCAACATGGTAAAACCCTGTCTCTACTAAAAACACAAAAATTAGCCAGGCGTGGTGGTGGGCACCTATAATCACAGCTACTTGGGAGGCTGAGGAAGGAGAATTGGTTGAACCCGGGAGGTAGAGGTTGCAGTGAGCCAAGATCAGGCCATAGCAATCCAACCTGGGCGAAAGAGCAAGACCCTGTCTCAAAAAAAAAAAAAAAAAAAGCTGGGCGCGGTGGCTCACGCCTGTAATCCTAGCACTTTGGGAGGCTGAGATAGGTGGATCACCTGAGGTCAGGAGTTCAAGACCAGCCCGGCCATGATGGTGAAATCCCATCTTTAAAAAAAAAAAAAAAATTTTTAATTAAAAAAAATAAAATAAAATGAGAGCAATTTTTAAGACACAACAGGAGACTAAATCTGAACCTTGATATTAATAAACCATCTTAAGATGGCAGAACATACTGAAGAACATATAGACATGTGTGACCCAAGGCTGGGCATGGTGGTTCATGCCTATAATCCCAGCATTTGGGAGGCCGGGGTGGGTGGATCACTTGAGGTCTTCGAGACCAGCCTGGCCAACAGGGTGAAACCCTGTCTCTACTAAAAATACAAAAATTAGCTGGATGTGGTGGCACATGCCTGTAATCCCAGCTACTAGGGAGGCTGGGGCAGGAGAACTGCTTGAGCCCAGGAAACAGAAGTTGCAATTAGCCAAGATCATGCCACCTCACTCCAGCCTAGGCAACCGAGTGAGACTCCATCTCAAAATAAATAAATAAATAAAACAAAAACAAAAACAGAAATGTGTAACCCAGTGGACCAAGGAAAACTAAATTTGTATTCTGATTTTGGCACATATCTTGGTAACATTAAGTTGTTTTTTTATTTTTGTTTTTGTTTTTGAGACAGAGTCTCACTTTGTCACCCAGGCTGGAGTGCAATGGTACTATTTCAGCTCACTGCAATCTCCCCCTCCTGGGTTCAAGTGATTCTTTTGCCTCAGTCTCCCAAGTAGCTGGGATAACAGGCATGCACCATTACACCCTGCTATTTAGAAATGTTAAGTTCTGCTACTTTTTTTTTTTATTTGTCAAGACAGAGTTTTGCTCTTGTTGTCCAGGCAGGGCTATAACGGTGCTATCTCAGCTCACTGTAACCTCCGCCTCCCGGGTTCAGGAGATTCTCCTGCCTCAGCCTCCCGAAAAGCTGGGATTACAGGCACACACCACCACACCCAGCTAAGTTTTGCATTTTTAGTAGAGACGGGGTTTCACCATGCTGGTCAGACTGGTCTCAAACTCCTGACCTCAGGTGATCCACCCACGCCGGCCTCCCAAAGTGCCTGGATGAGCCACCGCGACCAGCCAAGTTCTGCTACTTATCTTAATGACAGCAACACACGCTATCAGGAGAAACTCACGGTAACTGCTTAACTCTGACTATTTAATAACAAGTAAATTTTAAAATATATTCCAGACAAATCCTTTTCTACTTACACCTGCCATTTTTTTCTGCTTTACAACTTTAAATCCTTACCCTCTTTCCACTACAACTGATTCTTCTTGGTAGACAAAATTAGTGAACATAGGAATCAATTTTATATACTTCACCAAAAATATCTACACTGAATGTACATATTTAACCTTTCATCTAATTATTTAAACTCAGGTCCTCTTCTTAGGCTATCATCATCATATGTATATGTCTATGTATATGCATGCATGTATAGCTTTCCCCTTTCTCTGTGGTTCAGTATCCACAGTC